AGCTTCAAATAAGTACGACACGCTAAAGCAGCGGCTATTGGAGCTCTACAGTGAAACAGAGGAGGCAAGATCCCGTCAACTCCTCAAGACATGCAGGATGGGCGACGAGAAACCATCCCACTATGTACACAGACTGAGGAGTTTGGCCGGAGGCAGAGAGCATACTAACATCTATGTTCCTCGAACAAGTGCCCCAAAACTTGCACGACATCCTGGTAGTAAGCGCGCACACGGATTTAACGACGCTTGCCTCAATAGAGGACAAGGTAATAGAGATTCAGACGCCACACGCGGCGCCGATAACCCACGGCAACATGGCGATTTCCGTTCCGGACCCAAGACCGGAAAGACCACCGGAATCGCCCATGGATGGACGCGTGCCAGCTCCTGTCGTTCCAGGTCGCGGAAATTCTCCGAAGATTAACAGCGGTGGAAATGCGAGAAACGCGGCGGAAGCAGCAACCGAGGTGGAGAAGCAATTCAAGGGCTCGCCCCAGATCTCGCTCTAGTTCGGCAGGAAGAAACAACGGACACTGCTATTATCACCGGCGATTCGGAGCACAGGTGTACAGATGTACGATCCCGTGCTCGTGGAGACAAAACGCGAGCGACAATAACATCTCCGCATCGCGGAAAACTAATTGCACGTCCCACAGTTCTGACGACACTTCGCCTTGTAATCCCCGATTATAAAAGTAAATTAGCATTTTTAATCGACACTGGGGCAGACATATTGCCGCTCAGTTCGGCAAAAGGAAATGTCACCTCCTCTAATTTTAGGATCTGCGCAGCAGACGGCACACCTATTCCGACCTTCGGCGAAACAACGCTAACGCTGGACCTCGGACTGCGACGACCATATACCTGGAAGTTTACCGTCGCGAAGGTCCAACAACCGAAAATTGGCGCCAATTTCCTGCAACATCATCGGTTTTCTGGTGGATCTGAAGAATAAGAAGGTCATAAATGACTACATGAAAATATACAGAGTAGGCGAAATAAGCGCGACCACCCAACAATCAATCACGGCGGTAGGAAACCGAGATCACGACAAATATAACACATTGCTGAAACAATACATCGACATGACTAGACCCACACAAGGACTTGAAACACCGAAACACAATAATACATCATCACATAACCACCACAGGTAGACCATGTACAGAACGACCTCGCAGGCTGGCACCGGATACATTCAAGGCAGTGCGTGAAGAGTTCCTGTTAATGATAGAGCAAGGAATTTGCAATCCATCCTCGTGCGAATGGGCCAGCCCGCTACACATGGTCCCAAAAAAAAATGGCGGTTGGAGATTATGTGGTGTCTATCGCCGACTAAACGCACAGACGACACCGGATAAATACCCGATACCACACCTTCACGACTTTACGAGTCTTTCAGTCAGTCGACACGATAGATTCATAGAAAAGAGTGACACCGAGTTCGCATTGGCGGGAGTAAACGACACAACACAGTTCTGCGATATATTTCGTTCAGTTCTTAGTTATCCCCTGTAACGGGAAGTACATTCGAGACAAGTGGTTATTAGTGTTTTGTGATAAAAACCTAAAAAACTGACAAACCTTGGCAAAAAACTCCACGTTCAGGAGCAACATAACCTCAAAAACGGAGACGGAGGACTCAACCTCAACCTCCTGGCCCACGGCCAAGAGGAAGGCCACGGACACCCTGCCAAACACAATAAGAGTCAAGAGTAGACAATCTTCTTTATCTAACTCTGGTCCAGCAGTTAAAATCACTGCAGGTATGGAATCCTCACCCATTGCCACACATAATAGATTCCATATTCTTGCTGACTGCCTCCTCCCGGACACAGATCAGACTAATCACAACAACTCAATAACAGATAATCCTAACTCTACCACACACACCCTCCCTCCCATGGGTAATATCAAACCTTCTCCTATCTACATACACGGATGTGTCAATCACGCTAAGCTCATAGAAACCCTCATACAAAGATACGGAGATAAATTCCATGCAAAATACACCTCGGATAAACTAAAGATCATGTTCAACCACACAGAAAATTACTTAGAATTCAAAGAGGCATGCAACAGGGACAACATCCAGTACCACACCTACACCATAGCCACCGAAAAGTCCCTAACAGTTGTACTCAAGGGACTCATCCAACTACCAACCAAAAACATTATAAACTCCCTAAAGTCACAGGGCCTAAATCCCACCACCTGCACTGAAATTCCCACACACACAAGATACCCAATATATAGAGTATCATTTGCCCCGGGTACGACACAGGGTAAACCAAATACGATTCATAGAAAATATTAAAATTTATTGGGAAAAATTTGAATCAAGAGAGCCAACTATACTAATGTTACCGGTGTCAAGCTCATGGGCATTCATCCACCAATTACAACAAAAACGATCTGCGTCAAATGCGCAGGACAACATAACACCAAGGAGTGTCAAAAAACCCTGGATACTTCACCCACCTGTACTAACTGTAAAGGACCACACCCAGCCAGCTACTCCAAATGCCCAGCACTCCTCACGTACCTAGCTAAAAGAGCAGCATCCAAACAAAACCTTGCCCAATACACGAATCAACCGCTCCCACCAACACAACATTCATACCCCACACTAAACAAATCAAAAAACCCACCTCACCAAACAGAACCTATCACGTACCAAACCCATAAATCCACACTAGAACTACCTACACAACCACCCTATGCAAATGTCCTTGGAGGCAAACCTAGACCCACAATCCCTCAAGAAAGCACAACCAGCATGGAAAAAGCCATCGATGACATGAAAAAATCTGACCTTGACCTATTCATAAAAATCATAGACCTAATTCAAAAACACTACACAAACTGCACCTCAAACCTCGACAGAGTAAGAGCTACAATCTTGATAGTCAAAGAACTCGATAATGGTTACTAAGCCCCTTATCAAAATCATGGTATGGAATGCTACTAGCATCAAAAACAAACTCATGGAACTTCAGAAATTCATTGATCACAGCATAGACGTAGCACTCATAACTGAAACATGGCTATCCCCCACGGATCGACTTAAACTACAAGGATACAACATTACCCGTAAGGATCGATCCCCGGTACCAGGCAAACCTCAGAGAGGGGGAGTACTCATTGCTACAAGTCATCTCATTCCCATAGATAACACACCATCTCCCAACACTCCTCGCATAGAAGCCAAAAAATTCGCTATTCATGACCACAAAAATCGCGCTAATGCAGTACCACAAAAGAAAGTAGTCCGCTATTTAGGCGTACATCTGGACCTCAAACTAAACCACAACGAACACGTGAAATTGCAATTATACAAGGCACAAAGAGCATTCATCGCGAACAAGCGCATCTTTTATTCAAAAGACCTCCATAATGGAGTAAAACTGTTATGTCACAAATTATTAAACGGTTTTTTCAAGGTTAAAAATTTTTTTCCTGTATCGTGTTTTACTCATCGAGAGCAACTAAATTGCGAAAGGAACTATGGGTCAAAACTCAATCGTTCTCTTGGAAAATGATGATGAAGTTGCTGAGACAATTGAAGAAATCGAAGGTTTCAGAAAACGATGCAATAGAAAATGAAGCAAGGAAATTAATGCCTAAGGAGATAGGAAAGGAATTGGTGAGATTGAGTAACAAAGTATGAAAGGGAGAAGGGATACCGAAGGAGTGGAGGACTAGAGTAATATGCCCCATATTTAAAGGAGGAGAGGAAGGACAAGTTAAGAATTACAGGAGGATAATACAGCATATAAGCCTTGCTGAATACAGCATATAAGATTTATGCTAGTACATTAAACGATAGGCTGACGAAAGAGGTGGAAGAAAAACTTGAAGAGAGTCAAATGGACTTCAGAAGGTACAGGAGCACTATTGACGCAATATATATCCTCAACTATATAATAAATAGAGAGGTAAAAGAAGGGGGAAAATGTTTATGTTCGCGGACTTGAAGGCAGCTTTCGACAGGCTAGATAGAATAGAGCTAAACAGAATGATGGTGTAGCGGCTAGCAGATGTCGGAGAAAAGACGTTCTCAGATAGAAAAGTTAGGAGAATTTACGACTCACGTGGCGCCTACGCTATTGAATTGAAGTTCAGTTTTTACAGTGCGTAAGACCAGAACTTACAGTTTTAAAAATTCGGCCTCAATAACTTTTCTACGAAGCGTCGTAAACTCTTGAATTCCTAAAGGTCACCCAGATCAGCATCTGGAAAACACTTGAAGAAAGTAAGTGAATCCCGACGAAATTGCAGCCCCACTCTCAGAGAAAATGCGTCACGGACGCAAGGAGTAGACGGCGTAATTTCGTGACAACCTAATTGGTTAAAACTCAAAAACGATTCGGCCAATTAGAGATGTCCGCGACGGGGACCGAGTTTTCCTCGGAGCGAAGAAGCTGCGGAAAAAGCGAGAAGAATTCGGGCAGTCACAAGTGACTAATGAAAACTCCGCGATACGCCGCGAATCGACATATTTACCGTGTCTTACGAACTCCGCGCCATTTCATGTAACATTGTAAATAAACGTCGTTGACCACGAATACGAGTCTACCAATCTTTCACCTCGTATTATCCAGCAAACATCCCCAAAATGGTAAAGGAAGGCGTTAATGAGCTCAAGAAAAGGATAATGGAAATATACAAAGAGACTAAGAACTTTGTCAGAATTGGAAAAGACAAAACGGAAATCTTTCGGACAGAGAAGTTGAGTCCGACACTCTCTAATCTATACTTAACGGACCTGTGTGGAGATGGGAAAGGAAAGGGAGGGAGGAATAGTACAGTAAAACTCCATTTATCCTAACAAGATTATTACAATTTAACCCGATTTAACACACATCTTGCTGAGCTCCTATTATCCGAACACGCTTCACGCGGCGTAGTGCTTATACTCGCAGTTTTGCTTTGTATATCGATTATCAAAACAAAGTCGTTCATAGCCGTGTAGATCTGTGAAATCATTTTAATTTACTATGTCTTGTCATAATTCAAATAAGAAACCGAAAAGAGTAGTACTTAGTATACATGATAAAGCTGAAATTCTTGACCGTTTAAAAAATGGCAAAACAGCAACTTTATTGTCACGAGAGTACAACATGGGGAAAGCTACGATATGTACCATAATGAATAATACAGAAAAAATATTACAGTTTCAAGCGGCGACTTTAGTGAATGCAACTTGTAGTAAGAACAAGAAAATTATATCATCGGCAGAAAACATTATAATAGAAGACGCAATATATTTATGGTTTATACAACAACGTGCCATAGGCGAACCTATTAATGGACTAATTTTGTGTGAGAAGGCTTTACAACTAAATGAAAGAATGAACGGAGACGCTAATTTTAGAGCCAACAATGGATGGTTGAAGAACTTCAAAAAAAAAAAAAGACATGGAGTACGACTCTTGAATATTCAAGGCGAGAAATTATCGCTGAATATGCGGAAAGCTTTATACAAAAACTATATACAAAATTTCATGCCGATCTAGATTATATTGGAGAGCTTTGCCGCGAAAATCACTTGCTTAGTGTTCAAAAGTTGCTGCTCCCGGTTATAAAATTGTCAAAGACAGAGTGACGATACAGTTCTATTCGAATGCTACCGGATCGCATAAGCTCCCATTGCTTATAATTGGAAAGTCACGGCAACCACGATGCTTTAAGAATGTGCCCAATCTTCCATTAATTTATAAAGCACAAAAGAATGCGTGGATGGATACAAAAATATTTAAAGAATGGTACTTTCATGTGAGAGAGTATCAAAATAAAATTGGACGGGAAGAAAAAGTTTTACTCATATTGGATAACGCACCGTCACATATTTCAAAAGATGTACTTCCTATGTCAAGTGAAATGTTCAAAATTATATTTAAATAAAATTATATGACGTAATCTCTGTACTGCAGCCAATGGATCAAGGTGTGATTGAACAAGCAAAACAGCTTTATAGAAAAAATCTTCTTAAACGTATGCTGATAGTACAAGAAGACAATTCTCTATAAATCAGTAAAAAAGCAGAACGAAATGCCACTTATCCGGTTGTAATTTATAAAAATTTTAGTTGAGAGATTTTCGACAATCGCGAGATCGAGTTTCGACATCGATCGCTAATTATAATGAAATTCGGTTAAATGGAAAGCTTCATGTGATTCTAACAGGAACAGAAAAGAATTGTAAGGTTTGTTCTTGCCGAAACAAACCAGGTGAAGAAATAACCTATTGTTGCGATATTGTCCAGATAAACCAAATGCATCTTGACGAATGCTTCATAAATTATCATATAACAAAAATACAAACGGGGTCCGTTTGGGATCAATTGACGTTAATGACGAAGAAAGGTGCACCCCTTTTATATTTATTGCGCAGTTATGTGGCGCTGATAATATAATTATAATTATAAACATTGTTTGAATAATAAACGATACTCAATACAAAAAATATACACTGAAATCAAAAAATATAAATTATCTCAAACATTAGAAATATCCGATTCGGGTATAGAATATTTAAGTAGAACATTATCTTGTATTTTTCAATTACTCGATATTTTTCCGAATGGGAAAAGGTATCCGATAAGTCGAATAGTAACGGCTGTACTGGATGCAGATGGACTTAGAAAATTTCTCATTACGTTTATTTACGATCGAAAAACGTATTTCTATTTCATCATATCATTTATTAGATGTACGCAGAAGTTTGTCTTTTTCTCCAGTCTTCTAATAAAATCATTTTAAATTTAAATATTTTCCTGCCATTTTGTGTTTTTGTAAACTTGTCAAACTGTCCAAAATGATTTATTATTATGGTGCACATAATTTTAAAAACATTTAGAATAACAAACGACGAAAAACTTTACACTATTTTTGAACACCTACAATTATAGCCCTTCTTAAGACAAATTCAAATATTACGATCATTTGTGGTATATTTTCATGTGCCAATACTCATATTTTAGTATTCTGTTTGATATTGAGATATAAAGAATTACCCAAGTAAACAGAATATAAAAAACGAATATTATCTGAAATATATTACAGTTCTATATTATCTGTTACTTATACACTATTCAATTGAATACATTAATTAATAATGCCTCAGAAAACATGTTTTCTGTCTCAGTATAGCATGTGGGAAAAATCCTTCCGTCCAAAAAAAAAATTTCTTATTAGTGGGCAAGATAAAAATTAATGGAAAATTTGAAGATGCAAAAATGCATCACACTGCAATATAGTGCATGTAATAACAATATAGAGAATATTTAAAGTATATGAGATGGAACAATTCTACATTTAGGTTCCACTTTTTTTTAAATCATATTCATAGAAATATAAATCTGTATATCTTTTTTCGATAAGTTCAATAGCTTTACTATAAGACAGTAAATTGAATACCATTCTGATTAAAATGAATCCATACACGATATAAATTGAATTATTATTGAAGTATAATGTAGTATCAGAAAGTAAATAAGGAACTTCAATTGACGAGTTTCTATTTACGAGTTGCGACTTGTGCAATTAAATATTTTATCGTACTCTTTTTTAGTTCTTTTTTTTAGTCTCAAAATGAACTTTTTCATCACCCAAAATATCATCTTAAGCCATATATATGTGCCTCCTTAAGTAATTAAGATTCTTAAGCAATTAAATTACAAAGTCGTTCATATAATCTAACAATTTCTCCAACGTGGCATTGATAAATTTTATAAAAACCGCTGGTGAATTACAGAGTAAAAAAGGCTCACGAGAAAATTGGTATTGGCTATCAGATAATATAAATAATGTATATATAGAATATTACATGCTCAATGGTACATAAAAAGTCTTTCTTTTGTTTAGATCTAATACGCTAAACATCTTTGTAAATTAACATGTCAAATCAAATGATATCGATTTTTTACAGACACAAGAGTACAGAAGACGCGCAAAGAAATTGGAATGTCCGGCAGATAGTACAGGGTGGCCACTGAAAAACTGAAGAGTTTGAAAAAGTCATAACTTGTAATTTAAGTAATAATTAAATAATTTTTGATCGTAACTTATCATAATACTAAACAAAAATCCATTAATTATATTTCCAAATAAAATAATAAAAAATTTTAAAAAACACGTGCTTGTAAAAGTTATTTTTGTTTTTTATCACTCAGCCTTTCAGTGACTACCCTGTATAAGCAATCATACATTTGAAACATTTCACACTTAATGGTACACGAAATAATTTACAATCTTCTGGTTTACTTCCTGGTAATCCACATACGAAAGCATAGAATCGTCTTTTTATTTATCATTAGAATATTTTAATGCTGTTTTTTTTTTTTTCGTCTTCTTGCTGCAATGCTGATTCTCTTCAGTGTTACATATCTATGCCGATTTTCTTTTACATTCTTCTCACATTCAACGGCAAATAGAGCATCGAAACAATCAAATCTCATTTAATTTCGTAATAGCAAGTACTAATACTGCAAAATGGTCGATCAGTTCGTGTCTGTTTTCAATAGCTGCATGATTAGACTATTATCATGTCGTGAGTTTCTTCCAATAATTTGTTTCTTTTTCACGTTTTAAAATTGTTTACGCCCCATTATCGACGATGAAACAATTATTTTTACAAGACAATTCAGCAACATTCATCTCAAGGAACTTCGACTATATCCATTCTTTTTATCACTAAGTTGTAATTCGAGTTTCGAAATTTCAGTTTCGTCATGCATTGACCTGTATGTGCTTCGACCAGCCATTGGAAAAATGCTAATGCAATTAGTTGTTCTTCTTTGGACAACATGACAGGTTGTGTCTTATTAATGTTAGTTCGCATTTTAGTGCCGCCCTTTCTCGCTGTAAAAGTTCTCGGTTCATTTGATCATCGTATACATTCACCACGAATCTACGAAATCTATTATTTCTATTTAATATCTTCAAATACCGTATCACTTCTCTAACATAAAATTTCATTTTTTTAAACATTAAGTCACTGTCGAGATCTACAAGCACTGTACAACATTATGGTTTATCGTTTTGTTTATTTTGTGTATAGAAGATCGCACATTGCGACAACAGTAATTTTTACTGAATCCTATTTCATACAAGTTGTATGAGACTTTATAATTCTTTATACTGTTTTTTTATACTGGTAATTTTTTATACTGTGTTTCTTTGTCGAACAACTTGCCTTCACATGAGCCACGTTACAATTGAAATACGTTAATGCCATTTTTCTCGTCCTCCTCTTCATATCTCTATTCGATTTTCGCTTGCATTCTCATCATATCCAACGACAGATATAATATTATTAATTCTTCGAATTTTCCCACAATAACAACATAGATGTATTGAAATAATGCACTTTCGTCTGGTGTACAAATACTGATCTGGAAGTACTCCTGACATCATCGGTTGGTTCATGGCTTTAACAGATGCGCGATCAGCCTTTATTATTATTTATTATCTCTCGTCGTGGATTCTCTTGAACAGTTTGTCTCTTCTCCAGGCAAAGTTCTGAAATTACTTATGCATAATTATTTATAAACGATGAAACATGTTTCAAAATATTTTCACAACTTCCAACAAGGATGTATTTCTTTACATTGCCACGGAGTTGTATTACCATCAGAATTTTAGTTTCATCGTCTTGTTGCGTCATACGTTGACCCAAACACTTGCAGTTGCTTCAACTACAAGTCGGCGAAGTTTTCTGACTTCATCAAAGTAATCTGGTTCCATAATAATTTTCACAACACAATCGATTGTCCTTCTTCAAGTAACATAACATCTCGCGGCTTGTTACTTTTCTTGCTCTAGAAGTTCTCGTTTTGCTTCATCATTAAGGCACTGTCGTCGGAGAGTACCAACATAATGGATTATCTCACATGCGACTCATTGGCTTGAAACATAGTGTTTATCTAACCGAATTATTATTTCAGCTTTAGACTCAATCCTGTATATTCTGACTTTTCAACTTTGTCAATAAGGTGAAATCTGTTCTTTTAAAGAGCATCGCACTTTCGACAGTTCATGCGAACAAGACATGCGTCTTTCAACTTTTCATAGTATCGACATGATTTCAGTTCGCGAAACTAAACCATAGTTTCATTCCATTTGATCTTGACTTTTAATACCAGAACTAGCAAAGTAGACAAGTGACCAATTTATAATCTTTGTTAGGAGCTTCATAGATGTAAAACAGTGTATTTTTAGAGGCACTTTCAAAAAATGACTTTTTGTAAAATATATAAATAAAAGTTTATATTATATTTTTTATTTTTTCTATCTTTTTTAATTTAATGTCTCTAACCTTTGAGATCTATGGACGCACATATGCGTTCAGCGAAAGTTATTGGTGTGGACTATGGATGCATATATCAGAAAAAGTTACCAGTATGGACTATGGGCGCATATATGCGTTTGTCATTTGTTTTGTGTCTTATATCATGATAGTGGATTTGAGTTAAATAAAACGTTTAACGTTAAAAAATAACGTTTATCCGTTTATT